AGCCAAACATCCCTGTCGCTCCCCGTCTTCGTGGAGGAGCGACACAGGACCCTGCGCTGTTCTTTCGTCTGCTCGGCCCTCCCCGGGTTTGCTGCTGGTTCTTCCCGGGTTGGCTACCGTCCCTTCCACCTCCGTGGAAGGGCGGTTCCCCCTGCCACATTCCCCACTTCCGCGGGGGAGCGGCACACCGCCGGCTGGCTCTCTCGGGGGCTGCACAGGTGTTCCCTCAGATGTTCCTGGTGCATGCTGTCTCTCTCCTCCTTTATAGTCCTCCTCCGCCAATCCCAACTCGGCTGCCCACACGCCGAGTACGCTGCTCTTCTCCAATCAGGAGCAGGTCCTACAGTTTATTGGTTGAACTGGAGGCAGCTGTGTAGAAGCTGTTTTCTCCTCTCCCAGCGCCGTATTGTGGGAGAGCAGATGCATAGAATAAGTCTTAATTCCAGTAACTCAGTCCAGTCTGGGTTGCTCCCCACACATCCCCACTACCAGACCCCTCTCAGAGCTTCTCCCTGAGCATTCGGAGAAGCCAAAGACGAGATTATGAGACAAAACCCCTCTAGTGCAAAGGCAGGGCATGGCCTCTCATCCACATCCCTTTGGCCTAAGGTGGCCTTAGGAATTCACTGAATTGAGGGGGTGATACAGCTGGCCCGACAAGGCTCTAATCACTGGACTCCAGAAGCCACTTGCTAGGGGCCGGCACTGTGGCACAATGGGGTGAGCTGGCATCTGCAATGCTAGCATACCATTTGGGCACCAGTTCGAGTCCCAGCTACTCTGCTTCCCATCCAGCTCCTTGTGAATACACCTGGGAAAGCAACAGAAGATGGCGCAAGTACTGGGGACCCTGCCACCCTGATTTCATCATGGCCCAGCCCTGGCTGTTGCAGCCATTTTGGGAGAGCAGAAGGAAGATCACTCTCTGTCTCTCCTATTCTCTCTGTAACTTTGCCTTTCAAATAAATAAATCTTAGGGCCGGCGCCACGGCTCACTAGGCTAATCCTCCGCCTAGCGGCACCGGCACACCGGGTTCTAGTCCCGGTCGGGGCTCTGGATTCTTTCCCGGTTGCCCCTCTTCCAGGCCAGCTCTCTGCTGTGGCCAGGAGTGCAGTGGAGGATGGCCCAAGTGCTTGGGCCCTGCACCCCATGGGAGACCAGGAGAAGTACCTGGCTCCTGCCATTGGATCAGCGCGGTGCGCCGGCCGCGGCAGCCATTGGAGGGTGAACCAACGGCAAAAGGAAGACCTTTCTCTGTGTCGCTCTCTCTCACTGTCCACTCTGCCTGTCAAAAAATAAATAAATAAATAAATAAATAAATCTTAAAAACAAACAGAGTCATTTGCTTCTCCAACAATCCCGACCCTGTTGGCCAGTATTATCTGGAGGGGTTTCTTTAGGGGAATTTCAGGTTTAGGCAGGGAAATACCAAGTCTGGAGCAGGAGGTAGTGATACCTACATGTAACCCTCCGCCCTCAACCCAGACCACCGGGCCATCACTAGCAGCAGCCCTGACAAATTAAAGAAGATCAGGAGCACCACTGACCAGCCAGAAAGCTGGACACAAGCTCAACACACACCTCTGCCCAATGTCAGTCTACAAGAACCTTCACCCCTAACTCCTTGGGGAGTCCAGGAAATATGCGACAGCTGTCCTGCTCCTTGCTCTGCCATTTGCAAATACACACCTACTTTCTTCCACCATCTGGATATCAGTGATTTGCTTTCTGCACGTGCAGTGAGTGGTCCTGGGTTTGAGGGTTCTAGAACAACACCTCCAGCTAGTTTCCAGGGCTGTTCTGCGACATTTGGACTGTTGAGATTAGTGAGTTATCAAATACTACTTCATGCCCCAGACTCCTGGAAGAATTCACAAGGCACGGCACAAAGTAGATAACCTACAACCAAAAATGTGCTTTGCAAATCACCTCTGCTGAGAAAGAAGTTTTACTGGGGAGTGAATCAGCAGATGAAAGATCTCCCTCTCTCTCTCTCTCTCTCTCCCTCTTCCTCTCTGAGGCTCTGCCTTTCAAATAAATAAATAAATCTTTAAAGAAAATGAAAAGGCCAGCGCCGCGGCTCACTAGGCTAATCCTCCACCTGCAGTGCCGGCACACCGGGTTCTAGTCCTGGTCAGGGCGCCGGATTCTGTCCCGGTTGCTCCTCTTCGGATCGGCACAGCGCACCGGCCATGGCGGCCATTTGGGGGGTGAACCAACTGAAGGAAGACCTTTCTCTCTGGCTCTCTCTCTCACTGTCTAACTCTATCTGTCAAAAAAAAAAAAAAAAAAAGAAAGTTGTATTGTCTTAACCTGGCCAAAAAAGGACTTTGGTATGTTGAAGAGGCGGTTTTAAATGAGAAGTGCAAGATCAAGCTGGAAGCAAAGCTCACACTTCGCATCTTGAAAGGCACGCGGTGAGGTATGTGCCAGACACACTCAGGATTACAGGGCGCGAGTCACAGACACGGCAGTGGCGAGATCGCAGGCTTGTGCGGTGCGAAGTGCAGCACTGCAACAAAAATAACCAACCCCACAACGCTAGAGGGGGATCTGCTGAGAGGCACTCACACCCACGGTGCTGAGGTCATGGACCAAAACAGCGCAGTTTCTCTTTCTGCATTGCCCACTAGCTTGGTCCCATTACTGAATGAGTAGAATACAGGAAGAGCAAAGAAAATTATTTACCTGTGTGACAACAAAAATGTCAGCTGTAGAGTCTTTATGTACACTTTTTTTTTTCTTACTTTTGAAAAGCCAACTTTTATCAAAGTTCAAAGAAATTTCCAGACAATTTAACCCATCCTTACTAGTGTATAAAGTTGGGGAAAAGCTTTCCTCCCAGGCACATTAGCAGGGAGCTGGATTGGAAGTGGAGCAGCTAGGACTTGAACCGGCGCCCATATGGGATGCTAGTGCTACAGGCAGCAACTTAACTCACTGCACCAAACTGCCAGCTCCCCCTTCCCCAGCTTCCATGAGCCTTAAGATGCTTCACTGTGGGAGACGGGAAAAGGCACCACACACACATTTTTAGCTGGTCTTGTTCTTTCAGTTGGGAGAGTACATCTGGATATCTTTTGCTGTATTTTGTTCAAAACCAAAAATGTGTAGGTCACTTAGATTTACTATTTTTCTAATATGAGCATGTGGAACTCTTAACTATTGCTCCTGCTGCATACTGTACATTTTTATAACTAATTAACTTATTTATTTGAGAGAGAGAGAAAGAGAATTCCCATTTAATGGTTCACTCCCCAAATGCCCACAATGGCCAAGGGAGCTGCAAATGGCATCCAGGAACTCAATCCAGGTCTCCTACCTGGGTGGCAAGAACCCAGCTCCTTGGGCCACCCTCTGTTGCCTCACAGGATTTGCATTAACAGGAAACTGGAGTCAGGAGGTGGAGCTGGGCGTGCAGCCCAGGATCTCCAGGTTGGGACATGGGCATCCTAAGTGGCAGCTAATGCCCTCCCCTACTCCGCAGACTTTAGGAAAACCCATTTGTCAGCCGGCGCCGCGGCTCAAGGCTAATCCTCCGCCTTGCGGCACCGGCACACTGGGTTCTAGTCCCGGTCGGGGCGCCGGATTCTGTCCCGGTTACCCCTCTTCCAGGCCAGCTCTCTGCTGTGGCCAGGGAGTGCAGTGGAGGATGGCCCAAGTGCTAGGGCCCTGCACCCCATGGGAGACCAGGAGAAGCACCTGGCTCCTGGCTTCGGATCAGCGCGGTGCGCCGGCCGCAGCGGCCATTGGAGGGTGAACCAACGGCAAAGGAAGACCTTTCTCTCTGTCTCTCTGCCTCTGCCTCTGTGTAAGTCTGCCTTTCAAATAAACAAATAAATATTAAAAAAAAAAAAGAGTAACCCAAATGGGCAACTCATCACTTTCTCCAGATTTGATTAGAATCTTTTTGATATGCTGATAATTTCTAAGTCCTAGCAACAGACACCTCCGGCAGCATCAGGCAGAATGAGAGAACTGTAGAAACTCAGGACCTATGAGAAGCGCGTGGCTGAGGGAATGAATTTGAGTCCAACTGATGCAAAGCTTGCGTCTTACCACTGCTGCTCACTTAATTTTATCGAGCCTCAGTTTCCTCATCGGAAAAATGGAGACCCTCATAGCTCCTTGCAGTTTCTTTCTTTCTTTCTTTTTTTTTTTTTTAAGATTTATTTATTTGAAAGGCAGAGTGACAGAGACAGAGAGATGGATCTTCCATCCCCTGGTTCACTTCACAAATGGCCACAACAGCTAAGGACTGTGCCAGGCAGAAGACAGGAGCCAGGAACCCCACTCTGGTTTCCCACAAGAGTAGCAAGGTCTCAAGTACCTGGGCTATTTCCAATGCTTTCCCAGGGAGCTGGATCTGCAGTGGGGCAGCTGGGACTGTAACAGGGCTCTGATGGGATGCCCGCGTGGCAAGCAGCGGCTTAACCCGCTGTGCCATCACACCAGGCCCCTCTTGTTGAGTGAAATGACCTCAGCAGGTGTAGCACCATGGGAGCCTCATCAGACACCCTTGGTTAATGCATCCCAACACCTGAATTCCCTTTTAAAGGACAACTTTATCCCAGGGTGTGCGCTTTCTGATGGCTCCTAGGGAGGGCTGGGGCTGGGTACCGTATTTCTTACTTGGTATTTACACACCATCTTCTGAGGATAACTCTCAATTCCCTTCAACAGAAAGCAAAGAAGCTTCACCACATATCCGCGTGCCTCAGCACCAGGGAAGGTAGAAACTGCAGACAAGAATGCTGAATTCACAGGCTGAGTGAGGAACAGCTGAGCGCGGATGGCCACTGCCCGGCCCGCCCCTGCCCTCTGCTGGTCGCTCCGAGCAACTTCACCTCCAGCCGCCGCACTGACCCGGGCCAGCAGCGTGTTTCGTGCGCGTCATCTCCGGATTCTGTGCGTCCCCCAGGGTCCACGGCCGCTGAGAGCTGCTGGACAGTGCGCTAAACACGCCACAAGAATACGGACACGGGGCCTCGGACCTCACCTGGCGGGGCCTGGCAGCTACACACCGAAGACAGCCCAGCCAACAACCACAGAGCCTGCGACAGGAGCCCAGCCTTGGTGGTCTGGCCTGGCCCCGAGTCCCGCGTTGTCTCCGCGTCCTCGTTCTCCCACCAGACTCCGGTCGGAATCCTTGTCTTGTTTCCCTCTCCTTTTGAGTTTTGGCATCTTCTCGGCAGATTATCCGCGACCCCAACGTCTTCCTTTCTCTCTTTGTTAAGGCCGGTGGCTTTTATTGTGTTCTGCAATTTGTCGTGCTCACTGCAGTGGGTATTCCACTGGGAACTTTCAGCCGACACGAGACCCACGTGGCAGCGTGTGTGCCCACCCGGCGGGCACAGCGTGGGCAGCCACCCCAAGCCGGGCCTCAGCGATGACTGCTCCGGTCGTCAAGCGCACCGGCCGGGTGCCAGCAGGTGCCGTCCTCATGCTGGGAGAAGCCATCCCTCCTGCTGGCCTCCCGGGAACGAACGCCCCAGGGTATCTTCCTAGTCCCCGGAAACGGAAACTCTGCCAACAGAGACCGGAAGCCGCGAGGGGAGTCGGTCGGCGGCTTCTGACCTGAGCTTGTGTGGCTGGGAGTCCCCGGAGCCTTCCCTCTGCCTAAATTAGCATGACTTGGGCTTTTGTTGCTGGCGCCCTGTGCCATTTCCTGGGCTTTTCTCCCTGGAGCTGTCACAAAGGCTGGGTGGCCGTTTCTGGCTGCCTGGCCCTCCTCCTCCTCAGTCCACAGCGCCTGGGCAGAATTGGAGGAGGCCATTATAGGCTTTTTGAGCCCTTGGCGCTGGACCACACCGTGGATGGCCTGGTTTTCTTTAAAATGCCCTTGTATGGTCGTTTCTTTGCGAAACCCACATGTGGTATTTGGTTATGGCTTTGCCTTCTTTAACCGATTCCACTTCTGTGGTTTATTATTCGTCAAGGAAACGGGATCATTTGTCCTGCACATGTTCCATAATCTGGATGTGCTGATTGGATCCTCATGGTGTTGCCAACGTGTCTCCTTATCTGCTGCATTTCTTGAATACCGCCTCTTTGGCATCTGGAGGTCTGCTTGGAATCAGGCTGGATTCTTTCAGGGAGCAGTCCATCACAGGCTTGCTCTCACATCCCTCCCGCGGCTCCTAATGTCTGCTTGTCTCACTCATTGGGTGTTAGAGTGGTCGGGGTGGGGCCGGTGTTGTTGTGTCCTGGGGAAAGCCTCCATCTACTATGCCAGCATCCCATAGGGAGCCAGTTGGTATGCTGGTTGTTCCACTTCCAATTGAGCTCCCCGCTAATGCACCTGGGAAAGGCGACTGAAGATGGCTCAAGTGTTTGGGTCCCTGCCACCTGTGTGGGAAACCTGGATGAAGCTCCTGGCTTCAGCCTGTCCCAGCCCTGGCTGTTGCAGCCATCTGGGGAGTGAACCAGTGGATGGAAACTGTCTCTTCTCTGCCTCTCTCAAACTCTGACTTTCAAATGAATAAAATCTTTTTTCAAAAATGATCAGAAGTATCTTAGTCCATGCCTGCTATAAGCAGAATAGTACAGGCTGGATACTTTATAAATAATGGAAATTTACTTCTCACAGTTATGGAGGCTGGGAAGTCCAAGTTGGAGCCATTGGCAGATTTGGTGTCTGGTCAAGGCTGACCTCTGCTTCCTAGATGGCACCTTGCAGCTGTGTCCTCTAGAGGGGACAAATGCCCTGTCCCCACAAGGCAGAAGGGATGGTGGGCAAAAAGGGACAAACCCCTCCTCTCAGTCCCTTTTATAAGGGCACTGGTCCTGTCCATGAAGGCTCTGTCCTCATGCCCTCATGCCCTCATCACGTGCCAAAGACCTCACCTCTTGATGCCGTGACCTTGGGGTTTAAGTTCTAATGTGAATTTGGGAGGGCACATACATTCAAATCATAGCATTGCACCTCGACCTCCGCAGCTGTCCTTCTTCCACACACTCACTCCCAATGGCACCAAAAGCCTAACTTGCTCCAGCATCAACTCAAGAATCTGCAGTCTAGGGTCTCATCTAAATATCTTCCCCGTCAAATATGGGTGAGAAGGTAGGAGTCATCCTGAGGCAACTCGTTCTCCAGCTGTGAGCCTGGGAAATCAAATTATGCCCTTCCAAAATACAACCGTGGGGCAGGAGTGGGATAGAGGTTCCCATTTTATAAAGGAGAAATAGGAAAGAAGGAAGAAGTGATGGGTCCCAAGTCCAGCCCATCCCCAGCAGGGCAAACAACATGGACTCTGAAGGCTGGGGAGTAATCTCTGACTCTACGTCCTAGCTAAAGTCACCAGGCAACCCCAGCCCCACGGCTTTGCCAGACGCATCGCGTGCTGCTGCCCTTGTGCCCCGAAGCACTCCCCGGCTGGAGTTGCACGCTGGTTGCTTTAACTCCTCTGGAATCTGTGGCGGCCCTGACCCACAGCTGCACTGGGTACTGCCCGATGGGGACTGTCTGCAGCAGCCCCGCCCCCATGTCAGCAGTCTCCCTGGCCTCCTTTGAAGTCTGGTGGCTGGGTCCCATAGCTCCTGCACACCGCCCTCTGGTGATGATGGTGCCTTGGGGATGCCACCAGGATTTACTGCCTCTGTCCTCTGGAGGGCCTGCCTCTGCAGCTGGCCCACACCTGGGCCTACTGGAGCCACACCTGAGCTGGCTGTGGGGTTCTGTGCCCAGATGTGGGAGCAGAGACTTGAGGTGGTGTAGGGAAGCGAGTGTGAGGTCCCAGGGCAGCAGAGGTCCTCTTCTGACATAATCCATCCCCCAGGCCTTAGCGCTCTGCATTGTGTTGGGAGGGGCAGCACAGATAAGCTCAGATATGCTTTGGAGGCCATTTTCCCGTCGTCTTGATGAATAGAATCTGGCCTCCTTCTGTCCGTACAGGTCTCCTTAACACATGTTACGGGTATCTTGGTGTTCTCACATGAACGTGTCTTTTCATCTTGTCACAGCCAGGCTGAGTGTTTTCCACTGTTAGTTTCTGCTTCTCTTTTGCCCTTAAACATTCAACTCTTGCATAGGAGGACTCAGCAAAAGCAGAGAGTGGGCCCTCACCAGACACCGAATCTGCTGTGGCCTTGATCTTGGATTTTCCAAGCCTCCAGAACTGTGAGAAATAATTTATATTCTTTATGAATTACTCAGCCTAAGGTATTTTGTTGTAGCATCACAAGTGGACTAAGACAAGTGGACCTGGTGGTGTCATATATATAGCTACTTCAAAATCTCCCAGCAACCTTCACCTGATGGTTTTAGCAACCATTAGTGATCACTGAATATATCCATTCCTTTTCTAAGTATTGTAAAATCTGAAAAATCCTTCCCTTTCCAAATGCAACTATTCTCTGGAAATAGGTTCTTTTTGGAATTTCTGTTTGGCCTGTCTATCTCTTTTATTGGCTGGGTGTCTCAGTGATCTGGTGCACTATAACAGGTAATCTCAAATCTCAAGTGTCTTACAACAACAATATTTTATTTAGCTTCCAAACCTGCTCAGCAAGGGTGTTTCAACAGATACAGAGTGGCTGGATTCCTAGGAATTGAAAGTATCTGAACGCAGTTGATGCTGACTGCCAGCTGGGCCCTTAGCTGAACTGTAAGTGGCCACACCTACACGTGGCCTCTCCATGCGACTGCTTGGCTTCCTAACTAAGTGGCATCCATGTTCCAGGGGGGTGAACAGCCCGAAGAATAAGGAGAAAATGCTTGGCATTTTTATGATCCAGACCTAGCAGTCACAAAGCATCTTTTGGTAAAAGCTGTTACAAAAGTCCATTCAGATTCAAGGATAGGGGACATCATTAATAATGCCAATGTCACATTGCAAAAGGGGGTTGTAGGATGGGATTTGTTGGAACAGCTCTCTTTGTAAAATACAATTTGCCACCATGAGAAAATCCACTCAAGTAATTAAGGGGAAGTGTCACAGACCAGACACATCACAAATGATAGACATTTACCATAGTCTGAAGCTATTTTGAGAGTATGGCTCTTTTTAGCCCTACTTCTTGTCTCAGTAGAATGAATAGATATATTGACATTGGTTATTTAAAGACTTCTGTGTTCATATAACTTGTTAGCTAAAAACACATTCTTTAAAGCCTACCACGTACCAGGCACAGTTTTAGGTGCTGGGATAGAGCAATGAGCAGGAAAGACAGAATCCCAACCATCTGGAATCTTACTGATTAGTAGGAGCTTGTGGACTATTTTTTTTTCTTTCTTTCTTTTTTTTTTTTTTTTTTTTACAGGCAGAGTGGACAGTGAGAGAGAGAGACAGAGAGAAAGGTCTTCCTTTTACCTTTGGTTCACCCTCCAATGGCCACCGCAGCCAGCGCACTGCGGGCCACAGCAGAGAGCTGGCCTGGAAGAGGGGCAACCAGGACAGAATCCGGCGCCCCGACCGGGACTAGAACCCGGTGTGCCAGCGCTGCTAGGCGGAGGATTAGCCTAGTGAGCCGCAGCGCCGGCCGACTATTTTTTTTTAAGATTTATTTATTTGAAAGGCAGAGTTACACAGAGAGGAGGAGAGGCAGAGAGAGAGGTCTTCCATCGCTAGTTCACTCCCCAGTTGACCTCAAAGGCCGGAGCTGTGCTGATCCGAAGCTGGGGGCTAAGAGCTTCTTCTGAGTCTCCCAGGTGGGTGCAGAAACCCTAGGACTTGGGCCATCTTCCACTGCCTTCCCAGGCCATAGCAGAGAGCTGGGTCAGAAGTGGAGCGGCCGGGACTAGAACCGGCGCCCATATGGGACGCTGGCACTGCAGGTGGTGGCTTTACCTGCTAATGGTCCTGGGAAAGCAGCGGGAGATGGCCCAAGTGCTTGGGCCTCTACCACCCACGTGGGAGACCAAGATGGAGTTCCAGCTGCTGGCTTTGGCCTGGCCCAGTCCTTGGTGTTGTGGCCATTTGTGAAGTGAACCAAAAGAAGGAAGATTTCTCTCACTGTCTCTCCCTCTATCTCTGAAAATAAATAAATAAATAAATCTTAAAAAGAAGTGTGTAAACTGAAAAATGAGATGATTTCAGGAGCTGATGGGGAGCAGGAAAACAGAGTTATGGAGTAGGGAGTGTGCGCAGAGGGACTTGAGAAGTTTTCTCAGAGCCAAGGTGACCCTCAGGTTGCAGGGTGAATAGTGACAATGATACAGTCACCCTGGAACCTGGTGCAGGTACCGAGAGAGGTGAGGAGCTTGGGGAGTTCATGGACGGGAAGAGGGGCAATCTGGCAGAGGGTGAGCAACAGGGAATATAGTGGGGGGGGGATGGGGGGCCCTGGTGGTGAGTAGCAGTGTCGTATGGACTCCAATTTTATTCTGTGTATCATGGGAAGTAGCAGAGGGATTTTCATCTTCTGGGGTATTCTAGGGACTCCTCAGCATGGCAGGTGTTGGGGATGGGGGAGACTTATTATTCCTGGCTCTTACGCTTCCATCCGTGAGAGAGGTTCAGACAATGCCTCCATTCTGCCGGTGCCTCT